TGACGTTTGCATCACCTGCATTACAATGAGCTAAAATGGAAGTGTAAAATGGGCATTTTGTACCGAGTACGTGCGGTTGGCGCAGGGAGGAGGAATTCGCCATTACAGTGGGACCCAACAAAACCCAGTAGAGAAGTCGACGGTGTGATCAAGGTAGAATGTGAAATTGGATTTAGGAGTAATAGTCGCAAAACACTAACTGATGATACTAAACAAAAAGAAAAAACACGACATTCATAAAACTGGGACGAAGTGCCGTAAGGAGGTTGAACACCATTCCAAATGCCAAAATTAAGTTGATAACAATAGAGAATATGAAAATGACACAGCGTAACCGTGAGTGAGTGATGAGATTTTCACATTTAGAATGCTGCAGAGGACCCTTGAGGTAAAGCGCTTTGCATGCCACTTGTACAAACGGGGCCTCATTTTATTCATTTAAAAAACCATCCTCTTGCTGGTGGTTTGTCCAAAACACCGCGTCTGCACAACTACGTTTCAACAAAAGCACTGTAAGACAGCACACTTAACGACCATAGAAATGGATATAGAAAATTACCAACATCAAAATGTGATTATTTTAAAGAAAATTTCCAAGCCCTAAAAAGTAAAATTTTGTTGAGAGAACGCACCCGTGAGGACAAAGGTGGGATTATTCACTCCCATGGGTAAAGAGATGGCTATTTCGGCATGAGGGAGAATGACCTTGGCAAGGACTTTGGAGAATATCCTGTCCTGCACCTTGTCCATAATTCTTACCAAATCATTGGCACCAAAGGTGAGGACGAAATGAGCCAGGAAGGCAGTCAAAGCTGTCAATACAAAAAAACAAAGGACGCGATTAAATGTGGAAAGTGATTAAGATGATCTGACTAAAAAATGTCAAATGCCTACCAAAGGGACAAATTATAAAACGATCGTATCAAAAAGAAGCACTCGTGACCGCTGAGCATGCCACGAGGTCTGATCGCACTAACTGGGTTAACAATCTGAAGTTTGTCAATAAACGAAAGGGCCCGGAAGACAACGGACTTGCGCAAATTATATTATTTGTAACAGCACCAGTGACGGATGGAATGCGCAAAGTGGGAACCTACTAACAAAGATCCACAGAAACCACCAGAAAATAACACTTCCAGCACGGCAATGACATCGTGGAGAGGGCAAAAAAAGCAATGCCTACTAAGCTGCGAGGAGGCTTGATAACTTTAAATTCGGACTGTTACCACAAAGGTGGAATGGGCTGCTAAGGGGAGCGCATTAGTGAAATCTATTGAAAGCTGTAAGTTGGTGTGAAAACAAAAAAAACCAATTGATATGGTGCTAGACAAGTATCATCACAGAGGTGGATGACAGAGAAACATAACACAGGGAACGTCAGAAGCGAGCCCTAGCACAGTTTACACAATTACAATAACAGTGACAATTAAAAAAGGTAAGCACAAGTATTAAAAAAAGCTAATCGGCTGGAATGCAACCTTCTTTTTGGTCTTCTAAAGTAAATGTAAAAACGATGTCATTGTTCAAAAATTTGCTGTAAAATGACACATTCTTGCCGCATAAAGCAACTATGCAAAGCCAGAAGGGATTCGAATCAACTTCGCCATTACGGACTTGAAATTGAGAAGCATCCACTCAATCAAGTGAATGCCTAGGCAGGTAGTTGCGAATTGCGTAAAAACCTAGGGCTGAATCTATCAATGAGGCACAAGAAGTGCAAAAAGATAAAACACTGTGAAATCACATCGCATGAACTTTTCCGTTTTGGCAGCTTGAAGACGCTGGAAAATGCAAATAAAGATTTGCGGGAGAAGGGGCTCCAGATAAGTTCGTGGAAAGGCGAGAAGAAAGGCAGATATGATGGTGAAGGCATAGACGTCGTTGGTCTTGGAGTTGAGGAGTCGCTGATACACGCCGAGAATGGCATCAACCTACAAAGCAATAAATTAACATGCGTCTTGAGTTAAAAAGAGAACTCACCTTATTGGTTGCCAGAACAGCTTCCACGTTGTGCAGAAGGTAAGCCTGCATTAGACGTGCAAGTGACATGACAGCTCCCTGGGTCTCCCATAGAGGAGGGACTAGGAGACGTGGTAAAAGGGCCTGATAGGCCATATTTGGAGTCGGCAATGATGCCATTTGTGGTTCTGGCTCCAAGCCTGCCATCTTCCTCTTCTGTGCGCACAAATCGCGAACGTTGGAACCAAGGGGATACTGCTCCAACATCACTGCAAGCAGTTGGAAGACATAGGGGAAAAGCTCTGTAATGGGGAGAAAATGCGGAGGAGAAGGTTAACCGCGTAAGTTTTGCCAACCATTTTTAGATCAAGTTATAATGTATTGGTTACAACAGTATCATACCAACTACAGAGGCCTGGAATTATGGACAATGGAACTTTACATAAAAAGGCATGAAGTTACCTATGGAAGAAACCAATTAGTTACACAATCGGATGACAGAACAAAGTGCCATAGATGTAATGCCGACCACTTTCCAAAAGAGACAACTTGCCCAAGGAACGTGACGTTATGTAACTAATGGACTGAATCAAAAATGAATGCAAAATCGCCTTCAGTATAGCGGAGAATGAAATCGACGAGACAAAATGTGCGAAAAAAATAGTCAAAAAAGGAGTAAAAAGCTAAATGCATGACCATGGCAGATTAAGATGACAGCCGATAACTGTGAGGACAAAAATCGCACCATAAACATTAAGGGTTCACAGAAAAGGCTGGCAATTTTAAACAGCCCTTCTAACGACTAAAATACAAAATCTTTTGACCCCTTCTGGATTCGCCAGGAAGCAGTGATGAGGGTTTTTAAAAGGCAGACAAGACCAATGCCATGGGCTGTGAATCATCGCCCTAGCTTGGGTGCCAAAGCTTACAAACTTGTGAATAATTCCGACCCATATTGTTCTCAAACTTCACACTACGCATTCAGAAAAGCACAAATTTCGACAAAATTAAAATAGTGTTAGTAACGGAGGTAATCGGTGCTGTTTTCGGGCACGTGTCCATAAAGGGAACCAATGCACCAGCAAAGACATTTATGATCGTAGGCAAGGCGTTGCAAAAGCGTGCAAGTACGCCGGTTGTTTGAGACGCTTCAGGAGGAATTTAAGTTTTAAAGTGGTCTATTAAGATGAGGGACCTGCGCCAAGGTCCGAGGTTGAGAATTTGATCCCAGTAGGCTGAAAATAGTACACACTTCAGCTCGTGTCACAGCATGCTTCGATGTAAAACCACGAATAGGATAACGCCACTGCTGTGTAGTAACAGAAATAGAAAAGCTAACTGTATACCCAGGTTGTGCAAAAGAGAAGCTTCAAACCAACAACACCTCTTCGACTATGCACAAACCCCAAGGTGACCAACGATCGAATCCACAAAAGTCACCTGTGATGTCTTGTTGGAGAATTTCCTGAAAAATCATGAAGAGAGCCGCCTCAAAGTGTGCAATTGAAGAGGGGTCTGCGGCACACGTCAACCGCACACAAAGACAGAGTGATTCGAAGAGGAAGTGATTGAACTGCGGTTTGGAAGGATTCTGAAAGCAGAACAGAGGGAGAAAAAAAATGCATTTAAGGATAATTGTGGTGCAAATTGGTGAGAGACTGCACCCCTCAACACTCGCATAGTAAATCATTTTATAGAAAGAGAATCTGGAGGAGTACAGGTGCTGACATTTGAAAAGCATTCAATGCACATATGTGTGTAGGCCAACGTCTTTCCGCAAATCACACTTTCAACGGAAAAAGTAATAGTTGACATGCACAAGATGACACCGGCTGTCTATTGGTACAGTCAATAGCGATTTCTTAGGAAACATTCGGAAAGATGTATTCGTGTTGCGAGTACGGGGGGAATTGAAACGCTAAAATTCACTTAGCAAACTAAAGTGTGTACGTGACTTAACGTTTTCATCGTGTTACGGCAACTTGTTCGCAACCGCCTCGACGGATAAAGCACACACCGATTTATACCTTTAACGTGGTTTCATGCAAAACGCTCAAACTGGCCCTTAAATCTATTCATTTGGAATGATAATACTATTTTTTCAATGACGAGTTGGACCGCCTTGAGCCCTAACACTTTGGAGGGAAATTTTTCTAATCACATTTACTGGCAGAATAAGCACAGTTGACAGCAAAAATATGGGATCATTCCAACAACGTACCTTGACAATCTGACCCAGTCGCATGACCAAAGTAGTAACAAGCGAATTCATGGAGGGTAAACACCGATCCTCCAAGCAACTGCAGATTCGAAGGAGAGCTGGAATAGCAATGAGGCAGGAAATAAGCACCAACAATCACAATCTCGGATTCTAGCGACTGGAAGACAATTTACCTCTCATGAGATAGACGCTTTCACATGATGCAGGTCGAGAAAGAGCCTCAAGGCAACGCTGAATGAGACCCTCGGGGTTGGGTACATCGGACTTACTGATTCTACGATACGAATAAAATGCTATTGATAAACTGTTGAAAGAATCAACACTACTTGTGAATTCACCATGTAATAATCAAACGACATAAGAAGAGCAAGGAGAGAGAACTCACAAAGGCGTGAGAACAGGGCGTTCTGGAACAGTCATGAGAAGGAATTTTTCAAGAAGAATGGCAGCGTAACTGTGGACGACAATGGAGGAAGCGGTAAGAAAATTGGGTACAAAGTTGAAGAGACTCAGAATTGCCGTGGAGGGCAAAAGACCACGGAAGGTGATGGCATAACGTAGACAGTCTGCCTTTATCACCGGCAGTTGATCGACTAGAAGGGAAAAATGGAAACATCGCAACCAATTTAACTAGAATCGTTTGCAAGTTCACCATGCTAAACCACCAGATTACGAACGAAATACGAGGTAATATAGCCCTCGATTTCCAACAGGCCTAGAATAACTCAGATGATGTGCTGCAGAGTAGTAATTCTTGAAAGTGAATCCGTGAAACAGTCCTACTTTTAACTACACAATTTCAAGAGAAGAGCAGCTATGATGAAAGCTTCGCATGATCACGCCGTTATGACACGCAAATAACACGAACGCTCGCTCAAGGAAGGGGAGAAAATCAGGAAAGCATCCAAGACAACACTTAAGAACAGACTGCAGACAAAAACGACATCCCAAACACGTGAACTTTGCTGTCATTGAAAATTGGACCATTGCTCTTGTCAAGACGTACTGTTCATACTAAGCATGCTGATTCCCAACCCTTCCAAACGATGGGAAAAAACCTATTTAAGCCTCCACAATAAGTGCTACAGCGCCTTCACAAAAAACAAGGAGACCGATCCAAATTCACAAGTGGGCCTAGAATAAATGAGTACGGGATCAAAACACATGAAACGCACCATTAGGATTCTGCAGCTCCGGGAGGACATGAGTCTCGAAAAACTTTGGGATGTCCACCAGTCTCGAGGCCGAAATAACTCCAAACTTCAGAAAAAGATAGTGTATGCGTTATGCCAACATGGATTCACTTTCCCCTCCCTTCCCCCTTGTGGCTATCTTGCTCACCTTTTCTGTTTTGCCTTTAGCAGCCAGAGACGTGACAAGGAGGAGAGCAGAGTCCTTATTACTCCAACCTGCCGTAGGCACAGTTCTGTTTCCAGCCGCAGTGTTACTGTTGTTGTTGGTGGCAACAGCCGCCACGGCGTTGGCGTACTCTGCCAAAAGGTGGTTAATGTAGCGAGCAAAATTATTGATTACGGGAGCTTCAAAGGCTTCACAAAGAGCGTAGACCAGGTTGCAGGCAGATCGACGACGCGTGTGAGCATCGGAGCCCTCCAAGTCCCGGCGAATATACTCCTCAGGGGAGTCTTCAAACAACTCTTCGTCACTAGCTGCAAAGGAAGGGCAGCGCAATTAATTAACGATGACAAAAAACAAAGCTGTCGGCAAACACGAGCGATGAGAAAAGAGACTATCACAAAAGCCTAGTAATTTGGTGAAACAACATAGTTTACCGTTGGCCGTGGAAACTATGGTGACATTTGATTGGTTTAAGTAAATTTTGCACTGGCTCAAAGTGCAGTTTTAGCAGTAATCGGACCAAAACTCCATACAGCCGAGAGCTGGCAGTTCAATGCAATTCCTCACAACTATGCGGTAAGACAAAAAGGCGATTTAGTGGATGGTAGATAAGTCAAGGTGATAGATTTGATGACAATTCTTTGCCAAAGCTTTTTAAGTAGTGAAAAGACTACTGCAAATATACGGTCGAGCTGGAAGTAAGATCAAAGTTGGGTTATTTTCGAAGCACGAATCCTCTGTCAAGAGGAAACTTACCAAGAAATGCATACGACAACTATTTTACACTCGATATCATAATTCGACCGGAACTTCCTTGAAGTATTTATCTACCTGTTTGTGCTCAGATAGTCACCTAGAGACCGCCAGATGCGGATTCACTGTTGAGACAAGAAATTGCCAATCAGATTGGATGAGTTACTAACCAATTTTCAATGAAATCACTGCCCACACCATTAACCTATTAATGTATTCATAGCGCAGCCAACTCGAAAACATCAGAGAGAGACGACTTGGCAAGTGGGACGTGTTGATATGCATGAAGAGAAAAGATCATGCTCTCGAAACAATGGAGGAACAGGGTACCGCTACTAACTCACAATTGCACTACTTAATTCACTCATGGAGACGATTACCCCTGAAGCTATAGTAAGGGCCCAGAAATGAAGCATTTCACAGGAAATTAGCCAAGTAACTTACCGATACTGCAACAACCTAGTACATACCGACCCTATCACCTCATCCTCAATGTGATAATTCACTCATGCTGCAATGATGGAAGGCATTCAAAATGGGTAATATGGGTCTTTGGCTTATTGGAGTCTTAACTAACGAGAAGATTAAAAGATGAATCAACATACACGCGCATTTGAAAGGGAGCGAGCTAATGGGTCAGTTATATTCTGATCCAAAGAAACCAACCTTGAAATGCCAACAAATCGAAGGGCAACAACTGCAACCACACCAAAAAGACTAACCATAGACATATGAGCATTGGCAAACTTAACGTCGTCGATCAGAAAGTAATTTACGTAAAGGAACAACTCGTGACGTCTTCGCATACACTGGTAACGCATCAAACCGCGTGTACTATGTCAATGCTGGGACACAGCGTTAGCCTTCCAGTTGCTCATTATCAAGCAAATATGTGGATAAATGTTTACATGGCAGCCAAATGACACCCCGACCCATGTCCTCAGGGTATCAAATTTTCTATTTATGTCAAAAAGAAAACCAAATTCACCACTGCAAACAATGAACATACTGACTTCAGTGGTGATTACGAAAAAAGAAATGAGAAATTAAGGTGGACCTTAAATATACCAAGTGTAAGGTTAAGGTGTGGAAGAAAAAAGTGAATTCAGCGCTGATTTCATGACAGATTTACTGACGTGGCAAAAAAAATCGATAAAGCAATAAATGTGACAAATCCCTATCACCGGCCGGTATCACAAAACTCGTCACTACTAGTAGATACAATTTTTTTCTACCGACGCGTGGAACTGCATACATTCGAAAAGATTAACTTAAATTCCTAACACGTCTAAGTAATAAGTAGCCGATAGTCTAAAAAAATCAGGGCATCGACTCCAGACACGGGAATTCACAAACCCTCAAGCTTGTAAAAGCAGAAGCGGTATAACTCAAGGTCCAAATATACTTGCCCGAGAGCTGGATGTTGGGTAAAACAATGAGTTCGCAAAGCTTTTGTAGAGTCTCCGGCACCTCAAAAAGCGCTCTATGCTGGGGACGAGACACAACCGACTTGAGAAAATCAAGCGCATTACCGATGAGCTAATAGGAAAGAGAGAACAATAATAAAGCCAAACATCACCAGAAGGGACATCCAATTTGAAGCGATAACAAGTTGACCTCAGACCTACCCTGTCATACTTCGGATCTTGCGTGTTTTTCATGGAAGTGAGCATCTCCCAAACATCCTTTACAAACTCTGGGAGATAACTTGTAAAATCTGAGCCGTATTTGGTGGCGTAGAGAGTGATATTATCGCAAATCTGCGATTTTACTTGTTCTACCAAGGCGCCTGCCAAAGACGAGTCTCCTATTGCGTCAGCACCCATTGCTGAGGAATTGATCAACTCTGTGATTTGTGGATCGAGAGTAAGGAGCTGATGAAAGATTCCCATCCACTGACTCATGTTGTCTTCAAAGAATTCCGGTAAATCCTACCGCAACGTGCACGAAAGCATAATTCAGCTTATAATAAGATTCAAATAACATCAGATCATCGGAATGATGCTCGCTTTGATATTTCAACAGTGAAATGTTTATATGCGTCAATGGAGTAACACAAATAATGCACAAATGAAGGAGTTGACAAACGACACGAATTCACATCATGTTATTTTCAACACAAAGTCTGAAAAAAACACAGTTAGAACAATAATTTCATCAGCTCCATATCCTGAAATTACTACATATACCCGCTCATTCAACCGTGATAAAGACCTAGTTGTCGAAACCCGCTCAATCAAGTGCAAAACATCTAGACGATAAATGAAAAACCACGATTTAGTTACATATTGGTGAGAAGCGACAGCAAATCGTCTTCAATAGAGCGGGTTGAAGCAATGTGTATATTTACGAACAAAGAAACCAACACACCTGACAGTTGAGACTGAGGAAAATCTTGCAGACGAGAAGCAATGCATGCATTACGGGAACTAACTGATTACCGTTAGTCAAACGATTGGGACCAATAACCAGGTTCATGAGATTCTGAAAGAAGGGTGAGAATTGAACAAAGCATCGTTGGAAGGCAATTACAACCGGAACAGCCATAAGTTTTATTTTCCAACTCACTGCCGCCAAAGTGGTTAAAGGTTCGGCGAATTGGCCGATAACGAACTTCATTTCCGAGAATAGCGCGTCGGAACGCTCCTCGTGTCGGTAGCTGCAAGAATAAAAGGATCAGCAACGCATAACTACACAGAAAACGGGTACAAACGATGACACTACGGGAAGAATGCCGGAAGAGAGGCGATCCAATAACTAATATTTGGACCAACGTACGCTTGTGAGTACAACCAGCAGCCTCAAAGCGGAATGGGAACGCACCGTTTAAAAAGAGAGTGAGCAGTATAGAGGAGGCCTTGAACACTATCGAGCTCAGTACCAAGTTGAGTGATCCGCTGGATGATATCAGGGAGTAAACTAGGCCAACGAGCTGGAAAGTCCGCATGACCAATAAGACCAATGGCTTCAGAGAGCATGTGTTGGCTAGCGCCAGTGCTAGTAAGCATCGCATTAATTAACTGAGCCTTCAGTTGTTCTCGATCGGAATCCGGAATTAGATTATCTGATTCCGCCTCCTAAGAAAGAAAAGATAATTCAAAACTGTCCACTGGAAAGAGCCATAAAAGTACAAAACACACAGCTTTCCAATAATGTTTGATGAAGTTCTTGAGAGTTGTAGCCGCAGAAAGTCGAATAGTTTTCGGCCGTGAGGGATCCTGCAGAAGGGCGAGCAGACAAACGGAATACCCGGGTTGAAGCTCCATTGTCTTTAGCATGTTTTCCGCTCGCCTACGTTCCTCTCGTAAAGGAGATAACGTCCTTTCTAATGTCAGCGCCAGTTCATTGCAATTATCCATGTCAATTTTAAATGCACGAGACTAAATAAGAATTCGAGAAACCACTAGCACGAACGTAAGTGTGCACGACGATGAACAGTTAGACCTCAACATTGATTGGTAGATTTAAATCAAATCATCGAATTATGTCGAGTCTGCTGTGGTATGCATATCACTTTCTAACCAAGTATCTCATACCACTGCAATTATTAAATTCCAAATGTAATACATTGTAGTGTACGAAAGTTTGCTTTTATAAAGGCGAGGCAAAAAACCATTCGAATACAAATCCAATTTGTGTGAAGCGTGAAGAGCCGTCCTCAGGGTGTCTTCGGTTATCCATCTCATCGATTCTCCCTATTTACTTTTTTTCCTTACGTTATGCCCAATAAATCTTCCCCAACTAACCCTCTTATGAGGTTCGAGGTTTAGGTCTTGAGAGTGGGAAGGTAGATTTTACACCCGATAGGCTTAGACAATATTTGGGCACGATTTATAGGTTGAACTTATGTTGTATTGAGACTTCCCACCGGGTCGGAGAAGGCATTAAGTAGAAATGAATGCACGTACTCTAGAGAGAGTTAATGGAGCATGTCTGACCTTGGCCCGCGTACAAGGCTAAGACGAAAAATAAGCAATCGCTAGATGCTTGCTAGTCCACAAACAAAGCGTAACCTGTTCCTCTCTTCTTTGGACCAGCGTTCTCACGCTGTCTTGGATGCATCTCGAGCGGCAGCCATCCCACCGTACTCAGTACTGCATTAAAGTACTCACGGATTAGTAGAGCTAGTCAACAGTTACCATGTTACTGAGGCATGGAACTTAGTCTCCGCAGCGCCTTCAACTCGACCTAAATTTGCGTTTGGCCTTGTAGCTTCCCGAGACTTCCCACCGGATAAGGGAAGGCAGTAAGTTAAGTCGGATATATGTACCCCAAATGGAACAAAGCGACTAAGCCTGAGCCCAGCTCTACCGGTCATCAACGTTAATAGGACTGATGCAATGCTCTTGACCCTCTTAGCAGTTTTAGTTGTATCTGAAGCTACGTTCGACCAAAGATACAGGAATGAGGGGAAACTTCCATTGACTGTCAATATGTCCCAGAACTAGACGTTGAGATACAAAGGTTGATGCTCCAGCGCCTATCATAATGCCATCACCGACATCTATCAGCGATTTGTTTCGGATTGGGTCGTTCTTGTTGTAAATAGCTTTCTAGTGGAGCAAGGAAATAGGGCAGAAGCCAAACGCAAAGTCGTTCTTAAACCTGTTGTGGAGAAGCTTGCGATGCTCGTGCCCGACGTGTAAACTCTTCCTTCACACTGCAGAAGTTTGTCGCAGACGGTGTAAACCTGACAAAAAAGCATTCTAAAGTCGGTTTTACTTTCCGCTACTGCCAGTGTGACATCTTAAGACTTCCCATTCGGTATTAGGAGGCAAGAGGCTCTGACAAAATACTTTTATTCAGGCTGGGATGGTTAAAGTGGGCAGTGTCATAGCTTAAAGACCTGTTCAACTAGCAGAAGTGAGAGGGAGCTACCTAATGCTCCTCATTCCATAACTAAGAGTCAACCAAAGTCCTGAAGCAGGTCACACACATTTTAACCCTGATTTTTTAAACGGGGTACAAACCTGCATACTTCGAACAAGGTATTTGACCACAACTCCCCTTGCATGCGTGTAGACAGTGTGACTTTTCCATCACCCTATTTCTCTAATTTTATCGTGCTGGAGTTTAACTTTCAGCAATGAAAAGGCACTTTTATCTGGGTTAAGATTGCCTGTCACCATTACCTAGGCCAGTCTTGGAACGGCAAGTCTAAAAGCAGAGTCCCACAACAGGAAGACGAGGTTACGCGCTTACAGCCCCCATCCGCATTACCCTCGTACTTCCGTAAAGCCAAGTCATATCCATTAAGACCTCCTCCATCCACAAGATAGGTGGAATAGTTGTCAAAATTTTATACAATTTCCCCTAGTTTTGATACGGTAGGAGAAACCGGAACGTACATTTCCAAATGGCCAATAAAATCGTTGCAGTCCTTGCTTTTAATACCCTTCCTGCTGAGCACGGGACTAGAGTAGTTGCCAAAGGCATTCTGTTTAGCCCTTTGGATAGATATTGTTCATCAGTGTCCATCAGTTGTCCATCAGTGATGTCGCAAGACTTTCCATCGGATGATAGAAAGCATCAGGTAGGGTTGAATGGCTGTACTTAAGAAAAAGATGGAGAGGATCTAAGGGCTAGTTCACACAATCAAGCGCACGATAAATACCAAATTGACCGCCACTCAAAGTTAACCGAATAAACAAAGTGTCACATTGTCCCGCTTTCCTTTGAGCGCTTTCCGCGCCAGTCGTTACAGCCTAATTGGTGTTGCAAAGAAGTACCCACGAGATGGACGCATCAGTCATTAATTCCTACGCGAATGAGAGATTGTACTTGGTCATCTTGGTAGCAACTTAGTCACTTTCAGTTCAAAAGTGGGAATGTAGAAGCATACGTATGATGATCATCAAACGTGTCCCGAGAGAGACATTCAAACAACGATCTATAATAAAATCAGTGAACCGAGAAAACGGGATTAAACATGCGGTCCTCTATGTCATCATCGACAATCATACGCGAATTCGGTAAGAGGAGCTCCAAAATGGTTCGCAGTGGTGTCGCTTCAGTTGCTACTACCCTGCCGGTGCAACACGCGGATGGGACGGATGCCAAACACAGACGATCTGCTCAGTCCTTCTGTTGTGGAGAGTTTACGTTTTTCTGTCCGAAGTAAACGCACTTCATTTGATCGGCAATAGTTGATCACAGACGGTGAAAACTACTGTTGCTGAAGAAGGTATTAAGTAGAGCTCTGTGAAAATGTTCAAGAAAGATGATAAACTGGACTGTAGTTTGACCCGAAGGCCGTTTCATGCAAACAAGACCAAGGTAAATACCAAAATGTCTTTCCACACTCTGTCGCTCGGAATTTGAAACAGGATTATTAGGAGCTGACGCAGTGAATATAGTACAGTGTTGACAGTCACTGGACCGCCCAGTTAGGATGGAACGGTGAATGTGCCTAAATTGTGAGCTGAGAAAATAGCCAAGTTTACCTATTCCATCACAACCGCCCACTTACTTTGCTTGCCTTGACCTCAGCATCATCCGTTGCAGTTAGATCCGACGATAGCTTGATTTTGCCTACCTCTAGCTGGCTTTGCGTTGGTTGTAGTCACTTACACTGTCAACGGGAGAGAAACCCAATTTGGGCGAAACTTAACTCGGTTGCAATGCTAAAGAAATGCTTCTCTTCAAATCGGAAGAGTCGATGATGCCTCAAAGCATGAGCAGCACCCAAATCAGTTCTGGGTATTTCAAGACAATTGTTGACAAACGATTAAACATTGTTTGAAAAAAGTTTATCTACTATACCTGCATCAAGCCGTTAGCAATTAAAATGTGTGCGGTTCCCCACTCTCACAGAACTGCGCTACATTACGCGTCCCATTTCTCTCATCTTCTTCCAGACCGGTTTTTTTAATTTCCAGCTATAAACACGTATGATAGTCAGGGGAATCCCCCTTCCCACGGTCCAGTTTTCGAAGACGATCGGAACACCAGATCCAGTGGGGAGAATAGTTGAGAATAATGCCAGGGCAATCTAGTGCCAATTCAGTTGCACAGGGGTTCGGTGACTTGCATGGTAGTCTTATAGGGTCTGTCTTTCAGCATTCTTTGCGTTGCAGTAATCGAAGCGTACAAGGACCAGACAAATCCTAAAGTGACCGCCAAGCGTCATATGGTAACATAAACAAAGCATTACAAGACATATGCTAAAACAGCCTTTATATATCACGTGGTCGCATAAAAAATTTTTTACAGCAGTTAATTTACCGTTTCGGTTTGAATTCATTTGTTGGTCTACAATGCCCTCGCAGGGAAGTTCGGCGTCTGGCTATGCCAATAGCAACAGTATTTAGTATGTGACGAGAATAAATTTGCACATTTGGCTTTGCTCGAATTCTGGATGTTTTTGAAGCAACAAACAATTCCTTTTAGATTTCCTGTAATTTTTTCGCAATTTTTTTGATCACTACCATTTAGCTTATGCACGAAGAGTTACCTCTCAAACGAATAATGCCTACAAGGAGAATAAGCTGCGCTCATAAAAAAACCAAGCTTATATCTTAACACACAAACCTGTAAAATTGAGGTACAGATCTGTCATGCCGACGTATGACCTTGGGGATCCAAGTCATCATGTTGTAACAGTGGTAATTCAAATTGTCATCTTGCATGGGCGTGTAATTTTAAATCTCCAAGTACGGCTGTAAGCTATGGCCTGTGCTTCGTTCAATGAGTTCAGGCTACTAAGATATTGGTTTGCGTGCTATTTTAGAATGGATACTTGTGATTTTCTAATTCCACGAACTCAAAAATCCTTCTCAAATACTCTTGAAATGCAACCGTGCTTTCCGTTCAATTTCCTCAGGTGAAAACCCGTTTAATGCTTCTAAGTTGTATTGTGTTCCACAGACTAGCTTAGAAATGATATCAATAATAGATCTTAAGCTGCACTTTTGGTTGTGAATTTCAAGGCAGTGAAATTAACACCAATTACTCTGTAATCTTCACTTATTTTCATCTGGAGTGTCAACCTTTTCGATAAACTGATGGCGAGACTAGGTTAGTTTTGGTACCTACCTCGAATATGACGTACCTTCCATCCCTTGCGATGTCTGAGTGCCTTATTATGGCTGATGTCTCAGTAAAACATCACCAAAGGCGCTTCCTAGGTTCAGTCTACTCCATATCAACATCCACATCCCAATGGACACCTCTCTCAATGGAGCGGAATGCGCTGTCATAAACGAATCATTAGGGAGCCAGCTTCACTTAAGGATTTCGCTAAACTCTGATCTCACTATCGCCTGATTATTTCCGCCTCGAAGTCTGTTTATACTGAAGGAACTTTTACTTAAGCAATTACCCTATCGTCCCTGCCTTCCACACAGCCTTAAGCAAGCATTAAGCTATGGACTAACTTTTAAGACTCATGAAGAAACGGTCAGATAATTTTTAGCCGGCAGAACAAGAAAGCTATCAGATATGCTCAATCCTCCCTAATGAATCGACGAATGGTAACCATTGTAACGGAAAGGGTATCGTCCCCGGGATAATCCACTCTGTTACGTGGACAAAACATCTAGCAAGCATGACATTTGACATGAAGAAACAAATTCTACACTACTATCCGCCTTACGGAGACCGTAAGGCAAGCATACCGCTGGATGTAAACGACGCTTAACGAATGCCTTTTCGAGACAACAAATGAACAGTGCACAAACCCACCCACAATTTATCAGTCACTGAGATTCCCACACACAGCAACAGAACAGTGACCAGAGTTAGACCTTAGTGTTTGGAACCAGAGTAGAGCATTGAATTATTGTGGTTTCGAAGAGGCTGTACACCGCCAGATCATCAATATGTACACAGTAAAACTAAACTAAGATCCGAAGGGAAGGTAGTCAAATATTTGGTAAAATTTGAATAATAGTTTCCAAGACATTTACGTATAACATAATGCATAACATTCCACATTGGATGTGACAACACAGATAAGTAAGCATCATACATACGCATGTGTGCCAAATCCTACGACCATAGTCCTTTCGATGGTAGGATTCGAGGAGTAAAAACAAGTGTGGAACACCACATTTTGGTATATATGCATACTAACTACAGAAACCTTAAAATCGATGTTCTACTTCAGTGCGGCTTGTAATTTGAAATCTGGAGGAACAGGAGGCGCCCTAAGAGAGGTGAAACCACCCTTTGGCTCGCAAGCACAGCGTTGACCTTGGCCAGATCTAAAGAAATGGAGAATTAATGAGTTAATGCAAAAATTCCAAAATATATCATTATCAGCTAAAGAATGAATGATTTACTGAGGACCGTGTTTTGGTTTCTTGCCCACTTTAAGATCGCTTAAGATTCTAACAACATCGTCGGGAGTCAAGTCCTCCTACAAAATCATAGCAAAATGCGAGATGGCACCCATGGAATGAAATGTAGAAGACGGTCATCGATACTGACTCACATAGTAATCATCATTGATTTGCATCATTGGTGCATTAACACAGGCTCCAAGGCATTCAACTTGACTCAGTGTAAACAGTTTATCAGGAGTGGTTTCCCCAGTTTTAATGTTTAAGGTTTTCTCGATTGTTTCCAAAATCACATCAGATCCGACACCACCCAGCATACACGGAGTAGTAGTACAGAGCTGAATGTGGTATTTACCGACAGGGTCCCTAGCGAAAAAAATGTGTGAATTAAATTTGAGACTACCTATTAAACATAGTATAGAAGGTAGCCACTTCAAAAACGCGCATTTCCGGTACATCCAAGTACTCCGCAACCTTAGACATTGCCGAAATGGGGAGCCAGCCATTCTGCCGTTGTGCAATGTCCAAAGCAGGCATTATAAGTGAAGCATGAAAGCCAACAGGATAGTGCGTTTTTAACTCATCCAAGCGCTTCAGATTTTCCGGGGTAAATTCGAAAGGCACGTCCCTATTATTGATGGCGCTATCCCGATGCTACTATAATAGCAACATGGAGGCTAAACTTCCTACCCAAAAAATGGCAGTGCTAAACATCTTGACAGCCTTTGATGGCAATATACTCACAAACAAGCCCTTCGATGCATTTAACATCTCAACTGGCAAAGAAAGACCACCTAGACTTTGAACCAATAAGGATTAAGGCCATTCGTATGGATAATCAGCGGTATTATTTTGGCAAAATATAATTGAAAATAATGAAATAACTTAAGGTCAAATCAAAACTTACATCATGTGTTTAAATAAACCTTTATTTGCTAACTAAATTACGCAGTTTACAGGTTCAAAAAGGGCTTCGCATTAAAATCAGGTGCGTTCGAAAAACAGTTTGATCGGCACGCCCTTTTATTTTCTAATATATGACGACCGCACCTACAGCACCATGGTACACAAATTTTTCATGGTTTGTGCCAAAAACCAAATATGATTTTTGCAAATGTGGTCTAAAATATTTGTAGAGCTCTGCGAGACGCTGGCAGTCAATAGGACTATTCCGAGAAAAAAAAGGCAGTAGATAGTGTAGCGTCCCGAGACTTCCCATAGGGTGAAAGAAGGCATAAGTGAAATTAAAATACGAAGATGAAAAGGCAAACAAGGCTTGAGCGTGGCCCATGGGCCAGCCCACGCATACAGGAGGCAGACAAATTCTAAAGTGACCTCCAAACGTCAAGTAGCCACATTACAGATAGAGGAATGCAGGAAGGGAAGCTGGACACATGTACTCCAAAGAGAACAAATCGACTAATTCTGAGCGTGGCGCGAAGGCCAGCCAACGAGTACATGAACAACGCTAACAAGAAGTCAGTAAGTGCAGCAGGATACATATATTACGAAGACGACAGGGCGAATGAGCCTGGGCATGGCCCGAAGTCCAGTTCACGTGTACAAGGGTCAGACAAATCCTACAGTGACTGC